GATGACATCCCCAGAGATGCTCTATCTTCACGGGGCCGGAGCCGGGCCCCTGGTCACCCCCCTGCAGGCACTCGGCCTCCTCTGAGTTAGAAAAACAAGTCCCTCCCTCCCCCCCTCGGAATCCCCACACTCCCGGGAGCTGAGCTGGTCTCCCACGGTGACCCCACAGGGCCCGCCGGGCATGACATCACCCATCACCATGGCAGTGGTTCCGGTGGCCTGGCTCCTGGAATGGGACACGCCTGGCTGAAGCTGGATGCCTGGGAAGGCGCAGTGAGCGCCCGGGAGCTTTGGGCCGAGGCAGGAGGCTGGTCACCGAGAGGGAAGGTCAGGTGTCACAGACCCCACCCTGCTACTCCTGCCTTAGTAGCAACATTTGGAGAGCGCCAAAATGCGCTTTGGAAAGACGGATAACAGCAGACCTGTGGCAAAGGGAAGAAGGAGGCACCCCATTGCATAGTTTTCATAGCTGTGTAAATTAGTAACTTAAATTCTTTCTTGGGGACCCGTCGTGCTGATCTTCTTGTCTTCTTTTTAATGTTTATTTATTTGAGAGAGAGAGAGAGAGAGAGAGAGAGAGAGAACAAGGGGGGAGGGGCAGAGAGAGAGGGAGGCACAGAATCCGAAGCAGGCTCCAGGCTCCGAGCTGTCAGCACAGAGCGCAGTGCGCGACTTGAACTCAGGAACCGCGAGATCATGACCTGAGCCGAAGTTGGGCGCTTAACCTTCTGAGCCACCCAGGCGCCCCCAATCTTCTTTGTTTTCTTAAAAGAGTTACAATGCCAGTGACACCCTTCAAGGAGCCCTGTCTGACGGCAGCGACCCAGCATCTGGAGACTCAGGGACAGTCAGGCCCGATGGGGACGCGCGCGCGCGCACACACACACACACACACACACACACACACAGGTGCCTGCTCCCAGGTCCTGCTTCTGCGAGGAGTTCCCGTGAGTTGGTTACGGTCGTGTGTGCTTCCGAGAGGCTATGGCAGACCGCTCGGCATCTGCTTTGTTCACACTGTGGCTCCAGAGGTGCCGAAGCTCCGTTTCAAAGGGATCTGCACCCGGCATTCCTGCCCAGAGATCCAGCTTTCATGTGTCTCAGTCCTCGGCTGGGCAGGGTCCAGCCGCCGCCCCCGCCGTGCCCCCAGAATCCGCAGAGCAGGGGTTCCCGGGGAGAGCTCGTGCGAAGCAGCCAGGCAGCGAAGGTTATTATGGTGGGGGTGGCGGCACCTCTCACAGCCCGCCCTGACGTGTCCGTTAGGAATGTGTTGGGGTGCACGTCGTAGGAAGTCCCCCAAACACTGTGACCTTGTACTATAAAGAAAACGGGTTTTCCCAGTAGGCTCCTGGGCACGTCTTCGTAGCCACAACTGGACACATGGCCCCTCAAGTTGCAGGGGAGCATGGCACGTTGAGTGTTTTAGTGGGGCGCAAACAAAATTGGGGTTCCCTTGGTAAGGAGGCGGGTGGATGGGGTCTCGCGTCATCCGCGTGTGCAGGGGTCGTCTCCTCCGTCACACTGGCAACCTCCCAGGAGGTGGGGGCGTGTCTTTTCCAGCCCTGTGCCCCCAGCAGCAGCAGGCAGGGAGTCTGGCACACAGAGCATGCTTGATCAGTAGTTCAAGGGAGCTCGCAGTTTCCCCTTGAGGAGGAGCTACTAATCTGAAGGTGGAGGGTCAGCCCCTGCTCTCAGGAGCCCCCGGTCAGATGGGGGGAGGCGTAGCTCCCTGCCCCACCACTGAGCTCCCTGCCACTAACACACAGATACAGGTGTACACACCCCCTTTGCTGGGGGACAGAACGGGGGCCCACACGGCTGCTCCTGTACACGGTGGCGCAGGGGTAGAGTGGAGGGAGCACCGTGGAGGCCAGTGGCAGGCTGCCACGTCGCCCCTCCCCAAGGTGTTTGGCAAAAGTGAAGGAAGGCCCGGCAATGCTCTGGAGGAAGGGGTGGCATCCCTCCCAGAGCCTCCAGTTGCCAAGAGCAAAGTCTGGAATTTGGTTTCCATCCAGACAAGGCTAACGGAAGAGGCAAATCGGAGCCCAAGGGGGATTAATTTCCAACCAAGGGCAGAGGCATGCTCCCCAGGGGGGTCCGTGAGACCTTCTCAAACCCTGGGGTGGAGGGTCCCACAGTGGTGACTTTGTCCGGGTCAGCTGCCCCCACCCGCAGCCCCTGGGAGCCACTCCCCTCGACAGTCTGAAACCCACCTGAGTCAGCTCTGCCATTTGCCGGCTGTGTGGCCTCAGTTTCCTCCCCTGTAAAATGGGATGATAGCACTTCCCTCCCACCCACCTCTGTCACAGGAGGGAGTACAGCCAGGATCTAGGGTCTGATGAGAATGCAGATGGAAATTTCCCAGTTCTCAGTGGCAGCTGAGCCTGGGCTCTTCTGTAAGATTCCTTCTGACCCACTTATGTCTTTAGATGTTGGGTTTTCTTCAAGTGAAGCTCACCGTTAACCTATACCCTGCACCCTAACAGAAAACTAGCACAGCCCTGCCCCCCTCCCTCCTACTCCTACCCTGACCACCCCCAGCCTCACTGGAGAGAGAGGAGATGAGCTCTGTCACCATGCTCTCCACTGTCCCTGTCCTCTAAGGTCCCAGCCCCAGCCCTGCAGGCCTGGAGCTCCGGCCCTGATGATCTACGCTGCCCCACCAAGCTGCCCCACCAGCTGCAGGACTGAGGGGAGTTGAAAGCTGGAATTTAAAGGGCCGCCCAAGACCCAGGGCCCCCACCGCATGGATCTCCCCACAGTCCCTGTTCTACCCAGGTTGGGGGTTGGGGGAGCAAAGCATAGGAGGATGAAGGAAGTCCCCTCAGGGCCAGAAGGATATCAGCTTATGTCGAGCACTGGGCCAGGAGCCCGGCACCCTCGGTCCTTACATCACACCTGGCAGCCCAGACTCCCATATTGGCAAGCCGAGTTTGCAGAGTTGGATGTCCAGGACGAGATGGGGTGTCACAGCCATGGTCTGCCCCATATCACTGCCCTCAGCTAGCCATGGGTCCGGGACCCTCCAGGTTTTGGAGGCTCCAAACAGCAGAACGTGGGGTCACCTGTGTCGGCTTTCAGGTCAGACATGGCTGTGTGACTTTGGGCAAATGACTTAACTACTCTGTGCCTTCTCAGGCCAAGGAGCCTGAGAGCCCTCCGGAGCCACGGAGTTGCTTTACCCTCCTCCATACCATCTGCACAACTCTGCTTGGTGTTTTCTCCAGGGACAGGACAGAACAGACTTCTGGGGGCACTGGGACAAGGCAGTGGAGCCCACTCTGCAGCCACAGCCCCCCCCTGACCACAGCTACTCTGTCCATTTGCCAAAGAGCCAGCGGTGTGAGAGAGGGTCTGCAGGGAGCAAAGAGTCACGCTGCCTGCCAGGAGGTTGCTTAGAGCTCATGGCCCTGTGTGTGTGTGTGTGTGTGTGTGTGTGTGTGTGTGTATGAGAGAGAGAGAGAGCTTTATTAAGATAAAATTCACATATCCTACAATTCACCGTTTACAATGTACAATTCAGTGGTTTTTAGTATATTCACAGACTGCTTATCCATCACCACAATCAACATTAGAACATTTTCATCATTTCAGAAAGAAACCCCAGGCCCTCCAAATACCACCCCTATATCCACACACCCCCGCCCCCCGCCATCCACCCCTCCCCCCAGCCCTCTGCAGCCACTTGTCTGCATCCTGTCTCCGTAGATTTCCCTACCGGGGACCGTTCATACGGTATATGGAATCATACATCGGCGACCGGCTTCTTTCACTTAGCAGACTGTTCAGAGTTGATCCGCGTTGTGGCATGAAACGGTACCTCTTTCCACTGTCAGATAGCGTTCCATTGTATGCGTCACCGCACCGCGTGTTTGGGTTTTTAACTCCTTCATCAGTTGCTGGCCATTTGAGTTGGTTTTCACCTTGTGGCTTCCGCGACCCATGCTGCCGTAAACGTTTGCGTTCGAGCGTTTGTGTGGACGCATGTTTTCCTCTCTCCTGGGCGTGTGCCTAGGTGTGGGTTGCCGGACCGCAGGGCAACTCTATGTGGAATCACTTGCAGAACCGTCAGGCTGCCTTCCACCGTGGCTGCACCATTTCCATCCGTCCCCGTCGGCGGTGTGCAAGGTGTCCTAGTATCCCCACATCCATGTCAACCCTTGAGTCCGTCTTGTTTATTTGTGGCCATGCTAGTGAGTGTGAAGGGGTGTGTCCTTGTGGCTGTGATCCGCAGTTCCCTGTGGACTAATGAGGTCAAGACCCTTTTCCTGTCCTTATTGGCCATTTCTTGGAGAAATGTCTGTTCAGATCCTTTGCCTAGTTTTTACTTGGGTTGTCTTCTTATCATTGAGTTGTAAGAGCTCTTTATATATTCTGCGCGTAAGGCCCTTATCAGACATGCGGTCTGCAAGTACTTTCTCCCACTTCCTGCGTTGCCTTTTTACTCTCTTTGTGGTGGCCTTTGAAGCACAGAAGTTTTATGTTTTGACGGAGTCTGACCTATCTGTATTTCTGGCTGTTACGCACACTTTCCGTGTCATTTCTTGCTGCGTGTTTTTAATCAAGTGCTTCTCCTGTGGAGGAAACGGGGCAGATGATGGACTATGGTGCTGGCCTGAGTCTTCCTGGAGGCTCAGAATGGACCATGGGGGGGCTCCTTCAGCCCGGAGTCGGGGCGCCATCAGTTTCCCCGGCCACGGGCGCTCACCGGGCCTCCAGCCCCCTCACCGCGGAGACCCCTTCGGTTCAGGGCTGGGAGAGATGCTCAGTCCAGGACTTGCTGCCCTGGCTGGATCAGTAAAACCGAGAGGTGAGAACAGGTTCTAGAGACAGGCGGCCCAGGTTCGAATCCCGGGAATGCCACTAGGGGACAGGGGCGCGTGGGAGAGAAACGTCGCCTTCCTGAACCCCGTTTCCTCATCTCTTAGAGGATAGAGGGAGTTTCCCTTCTCCCTCCCCATCGCTAGACTCTGGCACTCACAAGCTCTTCTGCCCCGCAGCCATGAAAGCCGACCGGAAGCGCCTAAAGGGCGAGAAGACCGACCTGGTGAGCCAGATGCAGCAGCTGTACGCCACGCTGGAGAGCCGCGAGGAGCAGCTGCGCGACTTCATCCGCAACTACGAGCAGCACCGCAAGGTGGGGCCCGCCCCTCCCCCTTGCCCCCCTCCCCCTTCCTCGGCGCCCCCTCCCAGACACCGGCTTCGTCCCCCTTTTGCCCCTCCCCTTCCTCCCCGCCCCCTTCTCCCTCCCAGACACCAGCTTCCTCCCCTCCCCCTCCCAGACACCAGCTTCCTCCCCTCCCCCTCCCCTCCCCCTCCCAGACACCAGCTTCCTCCC